ATTTAAACTTTCTGTTGGAACAGTCAGTTTTCTCATTGGATTGTAAAATTTGTGTCTTTTGTTTATATTGCTCTATCTGATCTGTAATTATATAAGATAGTTAATCTCATATATAATTCCATATTGTCGAGCAAGAAAAAAATTGTTTTATCTTATAACAGTAAATTAAACCTTGTTAAGATAATTTCATGAGAATCTTAACAATGTGTAGAAAAAAGCCTGTAATAAAGACCAAGAGAAATTTTAAAAAACTTATTATTTTAATTCTATAAACAGCTTAAGCCTTTATATTTTGTAACTCTTTATGAGTTACAGTGTCGGTGTAAGTTATATTATCATTGTTATATTATCAGTTTTTTTAATGTATAAAACTTGCACAATAATAACGGTTACATTTATACGTCACCATTAATTGAATTTAATAAAATCTGTAAGTTATTACCGATGTAAAATGTCATATAAACGCTAGTTAATTTAGTTTTTTTCTGACAATTAATGTTATAAAACCAAATTCAATTACTGTTTATATATTTTATATCAGTAAATAACAACCATTGATGTTACTAAATCTGTTTAATGATGACATATAAACATAGTTAATAGAAGGATACTGCGAAGAGTTATAAAATAGATTCTATCACAATATATGATCAATTTTAATTTTGGTTACTATTGTTTATCTTTTTCTAATTCTAAAAATTAGAAAAGGATAAAGAGTAAATTATATAAACCAAGATTAGAATTAATCTTACATTGATGGAACCAGGCCATAAAGGCTTATTTAAAACAAGTACATTTTTATTGATGTCTGAAGTATAAGAAATATCTTAAATCAATTAAAAATCAATACATGTATAAGATTATGTTACCATCACTATTAATATATAATTTGAACTATTTGTCAGCAACTTTCACTGTTAGCTGATTTACCCTCATTATTATCTTTTGTTATTACTCTCTTCAGTATAGCTTGTTTTCGAGCATGGATTAAAATTAAATTTTGTTTTTGACATTGAAACGTTACTGTGTAAATTTTACATAAACAGTAAGAACTTTATTTTAGACTGTACATGTAAAAACACAATATAAACTAGAAAAAATGCCTATACCGATCAAAGCCAGCCATGAATTTTTAATGCTTTTAAATATTTTAATATGAATTATATTAGGTTAAGTAAAAAGTCATCGCGTTTTTTTAAAAGACATCTATCAGTAAAAACCGCAATTACTTTCTTACCAACAATATAAATATATCTTAATAGAGTAAAATTTCAGCTTTAAAAATCTCTTTTTTAAATTATACGATACGACAATTTTTAATGGAGTTATGAGCAATTAAAGTCAAAATAATTCTTTTATTTAATCCGCGATAACTCAGTAATCAAAAGTCGTAGGAATATTTAAAAAAAAACGATTTTGTAGGGAAAGTATCAAGCTTTCACGATAGGTAATCGAAAATTTTCTCAAATTCGTTTTGGACACGTTACAAATCCACAAAGTGAGAAGAAAATTTTTCGTCTTTTTCAGCTCGTAGTTTTTGGTATGTAAAAATTATCAAACTCATATAAACTTAAAAAATGTGATAAGCTTTTAAAAGTAGAGATTTCAAGCTTTAAAACCCTTTTTTTAAATTTGAATTTCATTCATTATTGACGAAGATATTGTATATACAACTTTGAGCTAAAAAATACGCGCGATGACTTTTTACTTAACCTAATATATATACTATATATACATTATGTACATGCATATACATATATTTGTAATTATTCGAACCATGCACTGAATTGATTTTCCAGACTTATAAACACAATTAAACTATTGTAATATCACAAGTTAAATTGACAAGAAATTTTTAATAATTTGATGCTCAATCAGACATATATCATTAGAAAGATATAAGATGCTTTCCAGCAAGAACACAGTCAGACATAGAGAATTATTTCATCCTTGTTTAATGTAGGCAAACAACAAGGATTCACTGTATTACACTGTCTGACTGTGTCCTTGCTGGAAAGCACCCATTAATAAAAATTGAAAAACTGTAAATGGGAAACCAATTCAGCGCACTAGTTCAAATGACTACAAATATGGTATATATACATGTACATATATATAATATATATATATTTACATATTAATTCAAATTGAATTATTTAAAAGCATTAAAGATCCAATTTCAACTAGCATAAACATTTGATTTCTAGTAAATTTTATATCTTGTTACAAATTCTGTCTGTGTATTTAAATGAAAATCAAACAAAAATATAACAAAATCTGTTAACAATATAATCACAAAGAAATCAAGTAAAATTTTCTAACCATTTAAATAATATATTCTATTCAAATATTTATAAAAGAATAAATTGCTAGTGTTTTCTGTTGGCAATCTGTTGCTTCAATAGATTCTGCTGGCAGAACATAAATACAATTAATGCAGTAATATTCTAATAAAATCTACTGACAAACTATCAGTGTAACCGTTAAAATTCAAAATCTAAACGGATTAAACTACATATGTACATATGTACTCTTGGTCTTTATTCGGTATAATGAAAGATCAAATTACTCTTTTATTCCTTAAAAGTGGCAAACTTACTTTTTAAATAATGAATCTCGTTCAGTATATTGACTTCCGTGCTTGCAGATGACGGAACTCCCATTTTTAGAATTTCGGAAAGGGTCACATAAGATCGCGACGCCTATTTTCTTGAAACAAGATCCTTGTCCTTCAATGTCTCTTTCTTCTTTATTGAATCTCTCAGATGTCTACACTTTCGGATTTGAAAAGACTTCGATCAGTACTTCCTGACTTTCTAAACCCTTCAAAAATATTTAAGTCATTCAAAGCTGTTAACAACGGACGTAAAGCAGCTGTTCTCGTGTTTGAGATTACACGTTAAAGTCGCAGGTTAGATTATGGTTGGCCCGTCGACATATAAGCTGTGTTCCAAAATTCACTGTCAGTGTTGAAAATGTATAATACACGTAACGTAAACTATAGATTTTCAGCGCTGGCAGTAAATTTTGGAACACTAGAGATCCTATAATCAGAGCTTGCCAGTTTGGCGAAAGCGGACACAACTGATTGGTTCTCCACCTTGGTTCACTCGGTAATCTTCGGATAGTTTCGTACATACGTACATTGGGTGCATCCAGAAGCACGACCGCTCACTGAGAGTTCAATGAGCTCTTTTACCTGTTTGGTCTACATTTTTAGATTTAATGGAATATGCCAATCAAATGCAAGAGCTCACTGAGCGCTCAGTGAGCAATCGTGCTTCTGGATGCACCTATTGTCGGAAAATGAGTGCAAAGAAAAGAAAGAGATAAAGTGGGAGCACAGACTGCATAAAGGTGCCTT